ATGTTACCCGATACGCGAACTAGTCTCAAATGGCGAACACAACGAACTGCAATGTCATGAAAAATTGCACATATTTCTAATAAATATTTAGAAGTCGAGAGTTGAATAAACTGCTTATTGTAAAACACGCGATTTCTTGATTAAAGTCCGATTCAGGAAAACGTGGCCTGATGTTAGACCGTGCGACGTGAAGTGAAGGATATTCCTGTACTTGATTGTGGTGAAAAGGATTTTTGAAGATTTTCGGAGCTGTGCAGGTTAAGGGATGTATAAAGTGGCAGATAGTGTTGAAGGATTCTACTTTGTAAGCCTGAGAAACTGGTATGTACTCATCAAACGCTAAACGTGTCTACGCCTCGATAGATGATATCGGATCATCAAGATATATTCAGTGGCAAAGAACACCCCGTGAAATAACGGGTGATTTTTTAAGAGGTATAGGATTTGATTTTCAAAAAAAAACACAAAAAATTTTAAAAAACGATTAAATCTTTATTTGAGTCGATAGAACAGTCGATATAATTTAATGTTTAAAGATTATTTCATGTTGGCCGCGGCTCCGCTTTAGATGGCCCATGCGCAAGGTCCAATTTTGGCACACTCTCTCCAACATATCGGCCGGTATCTCACGAATAAATGCTTCAATATTGGCTTCCAGTGCGTCAATCGTTGCTGGTTTATCCCTGTAGACATTAGTCTTAACATGGCCCCACAAGAAATAGTCCAACGGCGTTAAATCACACGATCTAGGCGGCCAGTTGACGGGCCCCAAACGGGAGATAAACTGTTCACCGAACTCGCCTCTCAATAGGGCCAATGTTTCGTGTGCGGTGTGGCATGTGGCACCGTCTTGTTGAAACCACATGTCAGCCAAGTCCAGCTCTTCCATTTTGGGCAAAAAAAAGTTTGTTATCATCGCACGGTAGCGCTCGCCATTCACAGTTACGTTCCGGCCATTGTCGTCTTTAAAGAAGTACGCCCGATGATGCCACCGGCCCATAATCCACACCAAACAGTGATTTTTTCGGGATGCATTGGTAGCTCTTGCACTGCTTCTGGCTGGTCTTCACTCCAGATGCGGCAATTTTGCTTGTTAACATACCCATTCAACCAGAAATGAGCTTCGTCGCTGAACACAATTTTTCGATAAAAATGTGGATCTCCTTCCAACTTTGCCAGCGCCCATTCACCAAATTGGAAACGTTGTGGGAGGTGGCTTCAATTCTTGCACCAGCTGTATCTTATAAGGTTTTACACCCAAATCCTGTCGCAAAATTTTCCACGAAGTGGAGTAACAGAGGCCCAATTGCTGCGAACGGCGGCGAATCGACATTTCACGGTCATCACTAACACTGGCGGATACAGCCGCAATATTTTCTTCAGTCCTCACTTTACGTCTGCGCGTCGGTGGTTTAATGTCCAATAATGTAAACTGGGTTCGAAATTTAGTCACAAGCTTCTGAATAGCTCCCTCAGTAAGCCGACCAAATTGCCCATAAATTGGAAGCAGTGCTCGATGCACTCTCTTAACCGAGCATGAATTTTGATAGTAAAATTTAATAATTTGCAAGCGTTGTTCGTTCGTAAGTCGATTCATGGTTGAATTATAGACCAAACTGAACAAGTTTGACAATGACACAAGACACTATTCACGCGTCATCTGTCAAAAACAGTGTTGCCAAAAAGATATTAGCAAAAAAATCACCCATTATATCTCATTTTTGTTTGTTTTTAAAGTAGCTTTGATGCGCAAATATTAAAACTGATCAATTTGATCAATCATTGATTTTCATTTGTCTTTTTACAACTAATACTTATCATTAGAGGCAATCCGTTGAAGTCTTTTAGATAATTTTAACAAATTATCAATACTGACACTTGGAACTCGCGCATAAACCCTACCTCAGATAAAAAAACTACACGTAAAGTTAACCAAATACTTACCCATGCTATTTAAAATAATATTATTACTAGCTTCCAGACAGGTGTTCGTCTTCATCATAGTACTTCCACGGCTTTAATGAAAATTACGGATGATATTATTAGGACAACTGGTCAAGGTAATAGCATTTGTATCTATCAATCAACTACAACAAAGCTTTCGATACCTTTACTTATTGAGAGATTCGTAAAAAGTCGCACACAAAATAGTATCATAGATTATAAGCACTCTTCCTTTTTAAATAAACTTTTCGGTGTTCCACAAGGTTCGGTCTTGTGTCCACTCCTTTTTAGCTCAATATACAAGTGAATTTTCTGGATTTGTTAAATTTGCGCAATTACATCATTATGCCGATGAGACCCAGTTATTGCAAGGATTGGACTGAATGACGATTTAAAATCTTTATATGACATAGCACATAGTTTACAGCAAAAATCAGGATTTTTGGCTAAACAAATAAAGGACCTATCTACATGGCTCAATTTCGGCTATTATAAATGATGTAGTTTGGCCAATAACAAATGAAAACAGAATAATTGGATTAAGGCTGGACACAATCTAAGATGTGCAAAACATGTTTATTACTTGTGTCAAGCGAAATATAATGTATTAAGACAACTGTATCTCAGCAGGAGTATGTTATCAAAATCAAATTATGTGAAGGTTTGATTTTGTCTAGCATACTGTGGCTGCATATATGAACCTGCCCTTTCGCAAACACATATTTTACGCATTCGACGTATTCAAAATTCTGGCAACATAAGAAAGATTAATTCTCTCACTTCGGTACACAAGATCGTCACTAGTAGAATACTCATTTACACAATAAGCCTACCAGGTTACCTGTTAATAAATCAGCTCGCAATAAACATCTTTTGGTTCTGTTATTCATACAAAGCGAAACTATACGAGGGTGGTCCCAGAAGTACTCGACCTGGCGATAGTTGTTTGAAAAATATCATTGTATTGGAAAGTATGCTACCTATAAAGCATATGTGTTAAGTTTGAAGACGCCACGTTGTTTAGTATTTGTTTGGCAGCCATCAATACTGAACGTTTTCTGGGAATTTGTGAAAAAATAGTTATGTGGTACAATACTTTTATTTCAAAGGCCTCAGCCCAACCAATATAAAATCTGAACTGGATTCTACTCTGGGTGAGTCTGCTCCTTCGTTTACAACAGTAAAATATTGGGTAGCAGAGTTTAAACGAGGCTGTATGAGCTGCCAAGACGAGCATCGCAGTAGTCGACCGAATGAGGTGACGACTCCAGAAATGGTGAAGAAAATTCACAAAGCAAGCTAGCAGACATAGTTGGCATTTCATAAAGTGCGGTTCATCGCACATTATCTGAAAACTTGGACGTGAGAAAGCTGTGTGCAAGATGGGTGCCGCGATTGCTCACAATCGAGCAAAAACAGTCTCGTGAAGATGTTTCAATTGAGTGTTTAGCGAAGTTTCACAGCAACAAAGCAGAATTTTTACGTCGTTTCATAACCATGAATGAAACATGGGTCCATCACTTCACACCGGAGACAAAAGAACAATCAAAACAATGGACTCAAAAGGGACAACCGGTTCCAAAGAAGGCGAAGACTGTTTCATCTACAGGCAAGGTTATGGCGTCGGTTTTTTGGAATGCGCGAGGAACAATTTCCATTGACTATCTTGAAAAAGGTAAAACTATCAACGGCGAGTACCATGCGAACTAATTGCAACGTTTGAGCGAAGAAATCAAGCAAAAACGGCCGCATTTGGTTAAGAAGAAAGTGTTGTTTCATCAAGACAATGCACCAGCTCACAAATCTGTTATTGAAAGGGCCAAAATTAACGAATTAAAGTTTGAATTGCTACCTCATGCACCCTATTCAGCAGGATTATTTTCTGTTTCCAAACTTGAAAAAATGGCTCAGTGGTCAGAGATTTTCCAACGGCGAAAAAGTGATGTCGGCAGTTAATGGCTATTTTGATGAGCAAGACAGTTCTTATTATAAAAAGGGTATCGAACTTATTGAACATAGCTGGAAAAATCGTATAAAGCTCAAAGGAGATTGTGTTGAAAAATAAATACAATCTTTTACAAAATTGTTGTGTTTTCTTCGTTGGGTCGGGTACTTCTGGGACCACCCTCGTATAATATGATGATAGTAGATCTCAAAAGTCTGACACAATTTTAGAAGAAGGAGCTGATCTCCTGCACGAACAAAGATATAACCAACGCTACGTTCTGAAGGAATGCCTCAGTATGTTTCAAATCATCCTATTATGTTTTTGCATGAGTTTATTATTTATATGTATTATGATATATATTAAGTGTTAAAATCATTCTATTGACAACTATCTATGAGAGGAGGGTTATGAAACTTATGTAAAATGCACCCTACGCTTTTTACTATGAATTGAATTATTCTGTTAATAACTAATAAATTTTATTATAATTTTATTTTGAGGTCATTAATTATGATTGATTATTCGACCATCTACCAGTGTAATATAAACTCTTTTAATTAAAAATTATTTTCTACTTTTTAGTTCGGTTAGCTATAAAAGCATGTTTTTTAGTTTTTTAAACCATTATTTATTCGTAATGATCTCGATCTTTTCATACCGAAGCAGAAGCCTAAATTACATGGCACCGCGGCTGCTATGATGAGCTTGAAGAAACTTTGTTAATACGATTTCCCAACTGCTCCAGGTTAGTACTCATATAACTGGCAAAAGCATCCTCATGTAAATTGTTTTACAATCTCGATACCTTAGGGACAAGTAGCCTAGCTCTTTCCCAGCAGCTACCGCTATTGACGAGATGTGTGCGTGCCAGATTAACGGTCGTATTCACCAATTCGGCGTTTGCCAGACTGTTACTTATCAGTTGTACAAAATATAACAGTCTGTTAAACAATAGTGGTATTCACCAGGACTTTTCGGCTTCTGATAACAAACTGATTGTCATACAAAAATCTTAAATTTCTTTAAGTTGGTGACTCTTGACAAAAAACGAGAGAATCAGATCTAACCTCACTTTATAGCTGCTGTGTGTTGTCATGTGGTTGTCATTCACAGTGTCAGTTTTGCCATGGTTTTGACAAGAGACAATAATTTCATTGGTTGAAAAATATCGAAGTATGATTGAAAACAAAACGACTAACTTGGTATTAACAAGTAGAAAAATGAGTGTTGGGAGAAGCTTGCCATTCAAACAACTGGCCTCAGAACTGGCCAACAACAAAAAGCAAAAAAAAACCTAAATCTGAAGACAAGGTATCATTATTCTCACAGGATTTGGACAAAGAAATTAACTTGTTCTCTTTTTTCAGGTGAATTTGTTAGAAACGGATAGTGGGGTATCTATTCCTTGAACTACTACATTTGATGAAAAAGTTTTAATCTTTTCAGTTATATTAAATAAGAGTATGTGAAGTATTTATCACTAAATTGAATTACTATTTCTGTTCCCATGAAGGTACAAGTGCCGATGATAACTTATAGGCAAAGTTATCCATATTGAATGTGATATACATAAAAATTACTTCAATAAGAATTTTATTTTAAACGGGTACACACTTTGAAGACATACATCTTTACATTATTTTTTTTATGACAACCTAAAAATTGATGAAATTATTGAGTCTCTTGTTTCAGTATTTTGAGATCCAATTCGGATTTGGATCTATTCAATTTGTTCCTTTTCAGGTCCGTTCTCAAAAAATCGATAGTGTCATTCTGTTCTAAGCACATGTTATGCAGCACAGCAGTTGCCACAATAACCTCACGCATAGTTTCAAGTTTTAGTCCCCATATCAAGATTTGGTTTTCTTTTGAGATTGGCTGGTTTCTTTCATTTATTGGTTCTGTAACATTTTGCAATACAGTTTCCAGTCGCCTAAATGTATTTTTATTTATTCTAAATTTTCTTTTGAACTAGAAATCATCTAGTTCAATCAAGGGAAACCTCCTAGTTCTTACAATGTCCCTCGTGTCTGTTTCCGAAGATTCTAATAGATCGATAATATCAATTCTACTGAGGCTATCCATTTTGATATTTAGACGAAACAAGCCCTTACTCGCTGTTTGTGGACTGTATTTTGTAAATCACTTCTAGGAAATCTCCAGGCAAAATAAAGTCGGGATGACACTTTTGACTTTTTAGTATTAAACAGTCAGCTAGTTTACTAGCTAGTTTACCAGTCCAAGATCTCGCTGTTAACTTGTCCATGACTTTAACAGACTGTTTGCTATGATGTGTTGATGGTGAATACTAAAAATGGATTTAACAATGTGTTAAATAATTTGTCTGTTAGGGAATGGTGAATACGGCCTTAAGTCCCCGGAACATACATATAAGAGATATAGCGCAATCATAACCTGGTTAGAATCGGTCGTGGTCTATTCCCACAGCCCATTTACACACAATTGGACTGGTAGAAACTCACCTGCAACTTCCAGCAAAAATTGCAGAATTGGATCACATATTCTTCGAGTGTAGCCATAATATGCAAACAACGCAAGCCTTATTTAATATGTAAATCAATAATAAACACCAAATACCCGTGAACGTAGCTTCCCTACGTAGGCAAAGGTACACCAGACGCTATCTTGGAATGTTTAAAGAAAACTAAAATATCCATAGAAACTATACTAAGTGACATATAAATCCGAACACCCAGTTTAAATGGTTTTATTTTAATAAAAGTTGTTGAATGTATTTATCTTACTGTAAATAACAAGTGAAAAAATTTTCAGCCTTATCAGTTAGACATTCCGGTTTTTATACTGCTTTTTTTTAATTCACTAACGCTCTAAAAATGAATATTTCAGCCGCAGTAAAGAATCAACGTTGGCGGATTTTGGTTCTTGACATCCTTTACGATCGGTTACGATGCCTAGATACGACGAATGAGAAGTTTTGGATTGTTTTCATACCGGCCACACTGGGTCCTCCCTTCAACTCGAGAACACCGACGTAATCGCCTTGAGTGGTGCAGACAACGGTCACTCTGGGATCAGGAATGGAACAGTATTGTCTTTAGTGACGAGTCTCGATTTTGTTTAGGCATGCACGATGGTCGTGCCAGCGTTAGAAGGCGACGTGGTGAAAGGAGGAATCCACAGTTTTTTGTTGAAAGACATGTTCATCACACTGTTGAAGTTATGGTTTGGGGTGCTATAGCTTATGGTTCCAGGTCACCTTTAATCTTCATCAGAGGTAACATGAACGCGCAGCGTTATATCCACGAAGTTCTAGAACCCCATCTTTTACCCCATCTTGACATCCTGGCAGATCCAACTTTCCAACAAGATAATGCCCGACCACATGTTGCAAGAGTCACAATAGACTTCTTTCAACACAATGATGTCACATTGTTACCATGGCCACCAAGATCTCCCGACTTATCCCCAATTGAGCACGTGTGGGATATGATGGGTAGGAGATTGCTCAATTTGCAACGTCCTCCTCAGACTCTAGAAGCACTTCGAGAGGAGTTGGTGGTTGCCTGGAATGAGATACCACAGGAGGACATTGACCACCTGATCAGAAGCAAGCCTAGGTGCGTTGGAGAATGCGTAGCACATCAGGGTGCATCCACACATTATTAAAGGTCAAAGGGCTTTAAAGCAGTGCAATCATTTTGAAATTTTTATCATTTACTTATTATGCTTCATTAAGTACTTATACAAAATTTTATTAAAATAAAACCATTTAAACTGGGTGTTCGGATTTATATGTCACTTAGTATATAAGTACTTACATATCTATCTATCAAACGTCATTCAAATAAAATCATTTCAGAATTATGTTTGGTCTGTGAACACATAATCTGTTCCATCTACTTTCATACTTTCATTCACGTCTCAGATCTCGTTAGTCTCAATTTCATTTTGGGACATGCGATACATAACGTCGTGTAACCTTGACAAACATTTCGGCAGGTTATGAACATATTTCCCTGTGCCTGGGCAGGTTACATCATGGACAATCCACCTGTTATCGTATGAAAGTTACATAATGTAAAGAAATTCGGGGGAATGAATGTGGACGCCCATGGTGCTGAGAATTGCATTAGTCATCGAGAGAAATTTGATAAATGGGATAAAGGTCAGGCAGTTTAGATGGCAGATAAACGATTGCAAAAACTGCAGACGAGATGGTTAGCGGTAATGTCGGAATCCTTAAATATCTAGACGTCTACAGTATCTAGCTCCATATCTATGTCATTTTGAAAGAGCTGCTAAGAGAAGCATAACCTAACAATCAGGTCAACCTTTTTCAAAAATCAAAACTCAATGAGCTTGCCATGATCTTTACAGCCCACTGCTATGTGGACGTCACCAAACCCCTAACACCACACTACCGTCGATTCCAAGGATTCTCTACACTACGCGGAAAGTAACCTTTAGGCACAAGTCCATATGACCTCTTGTCAGTGGATATCAACAAAGCTTCTGGTCTGGACTTGATTCGGGTCGTTGTACTGAAGAGATGTGCAGCGGAACTTGCTCGAGTTCTTTCACGACTCTTCCAGCTATCTTACAAATCCGGCATTTTCTCAGAAAACCCAACCCAAAGAAAAGGATTCAAGAGGGGCCCTTACAACTTCCAAGAGAGATACTTCGCAACCTTGGAGTACCTTGAACATCACAGATTCATTAATGATAGGCAGCATCGTTTTCTACACCAGCAATCCAGGCGTACGATCAGTTGTAGCCTGCTACCCCCTTATGCAAACCTCCAATCTATGATCTCACAGAAAAGCATTGCAGATGGGTGGCCGGCTTCCCTTCCGGCCCCAAGATATCAGTCGTAACTCTTCATCCCACAATGTCAATGCGGGTGTTCCTCAGGGATCGGTCTTGGTTTCAACCTTGTTTCTCTTACATATCAAGAATGTCCTTTCCTGTGCGTTCAGATCTTCGCTGATGATAGCACCCTATACAGGGTGTAAATGTTATGATAGTCATTATTTAAATCGGTGATAGAGGGGGTCCGAAGAAGCAAAAAATTTTATATAATATGGTGGTCAAAACGGCATTTTTTAAGAGAAAAGCGACTTTAAAGTAAAATAAAATCTGACAACGCCGCAATGCCAGACGCGAATTACGACGGAACGCAGTGTAAATAAAGATGGAGTTTGTTATTTTTTTCTCTTAGGTATTATTTAATTATTTGATAATGAACTCGTGAATGCAAATAATTAAAAAAACTGACATACCACTAACTGACTCAGCGCTTCACCTGCTGAGTGAAAGTTTATTGAACGTATTAAAAAAATCCACTTATAAATAGGAAACACAATTTTGATACATATATTGTTTATATTTTTAAAACCCACACTGCACTTTTTTGTATTTAAAGAAGGTGTTCAAAATGTCGTCCTCCACTTTCCACACAAGCTTCATTCCGACGAACCCAGTTTCTTCTTACACTAGGTCATTGATTCCCAAAGTGGTCTATATCGACCCCTAGGGGTCTATGACAACCTGCAAGGGGTCTACGTCAGCGAAAAAAAATTTGGGGGTCCATGAATTGAATATGGGGGTCCACGATAGTGGATCTCAACACATACACTGATAGTACCTATTTACTTACATCATACTATCTTATAATATCAACACATATACATTATTTATAAAAGTACCTATGAAGTAAAAAATTTATTATATATGTTTACAAAATTGTATAAGTTGTAGGACGTTGGTATTCGCTTTGTGGTCGCAATACATTTTGAACTTGTAAAAACCTAAGAGTCGCAGTCTCAGAGCTTCGCTACCTTGCACTGACTTGTTCAATTCGTCACTCTATAAATACGAATGTGGGACAAATACGTTTATTCGTTTCCTGAATGTTTAAAATTAAAGCGCTAAGAAAATATTTTAAAAAATATAAACAGATAGTATATCACACAAATTATAGTGAGTCAGTGTTATTTTGTTTGAGAGTGCTGGAGAAAAGTAAGTACATTATTTTTTATTAAATTTTAGTTTTGTACTCGTAGTTAGCAAAGATAGATAAATTACGCCAATCATGACTTTAGTTATTAGTAGTTAAATATTCAATCATGCAAAATTACACGAGTACTCCTCAATAGTTTCTTTTTGAAAGCTTTAGCAATCGGTAATATAATTACAATGCAATCTCCGTAATTCGAGCTAATTATTGCAAGATGTTCGAATTATGGAATGTTTTCGGAAAAATCAAAAAATATTTTTGATATACAACTGCTGGATTTTCTGTCTTATTTAAATAATTTAATTTTGCCCACAGATGACTGATGCCATGTCCGAATCTAAAAAGAAATGTAGACAGTACCGTGTTGATTATTTAAAATTTGGCTTCATTCCATCATTGCCGGACAAACAGTCGCCTATGTGCCTTTTATGCAACAAAGTTTTGGGCAATGACGCTATGAAACCATCTAAACTGCAAGATCATCTGAGAAGATGCCACCCTGATAAAACAGAGGAAGATTTGAAATACTTTCAAACACTC